GAAAGACTCGAAGTCCAAGCTGATGATCGGGGCTGACCACGCCACACATGTGTATGTTTTATTTCTCTTGATACATGTAGTTAGAGTTTCTTTCCAGGGGGGGGGGGGTGGCTTGACTCCTCCCGAAGAACGTCTACCGCCCCTCCCCCACGAAATTGAAATAGAGTTTATATAGAAAATATATACTTTGACCAGTGTCAGCACCTCCCCCTCCTAAAAAAAAATGTGCCCTCATTCCCCGGGAGAAAAATGTTCGAAAGAAGCACTGCTTGTAGTTTGTTTCCTTGATGGACTAAATCAATAGAAGCAAATCCAGTACCAAAGCTGGCTTAAATCTGACTCCTATATGGAGGATGTTTAGTAATATTTAATTATGTAGGAGAAAATCACTTGTAATATTACAATTAAGAACGAAGAAGAATTTTTTTTATCATTATTGTTATGAAACGACGTCATCAGTATGGTTAGTATTGATGGTGGTGATGACTGCAGTGAGAGGTTAAACAGTTGTGTGGCGAATTAGACACTGTATATTACTTGATTGTTGAAGAAGACACCAACACAATTTCAGCTGAACAACTTTAATAACATAGATAATGGAACTACACCCTATATGGTAGTTTTACTATCGTCTAAGGAAGCAGAACTAGTTCATTAATAGTGGCTGGCCTAATAGGGGCCAGCCCTTCCACACTTTACAAGAACACAAAAAACACGACTACATTCTAACCAGCCTAACGTTCAACTGTCCTATCTTTCTCAGGGCCCAAGCTTGACCCTTTGGGTTCCTTAACCCCTGCATGACCCCGGCTTTCCAGCGAGGGGGAGGGACGGGCGCCTGCAAATGCTAGGTGGGACTGATGCATTGTGTCCCAGTTCAGGTGTGGGGGATAAGGGTGGGGAGGGCAGTACACGCTGTCACAGTTCAGGTGTGAGACAGGAGGGGGGTGGGGTAGATACCCACTAGCGGTGGGACGAGGGGGGTTGGACTCAGTTATAACAATTATCATCCATCTTTTTTTCGTTATTAATTGTAATATGTAAGTGTAATATTGAAGACGATTTTCTCCAACACAATCGAACATTGCGAGTCATTGTGGTATACGCCATATGGCTCGTTAACTTTGTCTTATGTATGTCCACATAACACAAATACACGCATTAATGTTTGAAATAACAAGATGCATGAATAGACATAAAGAAATTTTACCATCGCACTAGAAATAACATAAACACAAAGGTCATTGATCCGGTATTAGCTACCCTCGTTGAAATGGAAGATATCAGCTACTTAGATCACTTTGGAAATTATTTACAAGTTATTGCCCTGTCAGGGGTGGGGGTGGTTGAGTCGGTAAAGCTCATGGTTGCTAAACCGAAAAGTCTCGAGTTCGAACCCTCGGGCAGATGAGGCTGGTTAGCTTCTAGGAGAGACAACAAAGAAAAGCAGGCAGAAATCGGAGTCAATGACGCATAACCAGTTGACACGTATACTTAATTGTGCTGGAGGGGATCCTCCCAACACTAAAATTAAGAACGAAGAAGAAGAAGAAGAAAAGATTAACCCTAATTCAGAGAAATCAGCCATGTATCATATGACGGATTCTCCTTTCGTTCACACCGATTTCCAATATTTATCTTCATCATTTATTCCCGTTCGTGCCTAAGACACACGGGGCAGATGAAGTAGAGTTCGTCTGTTTCAGAGGCTTCGGCATATAAAGGGATAATGTGGTCAGCACTATGACCAGCCGCCTTTACTTCACCTACCGTGAGTTAGGTACCCATGGGTGGACTTAGAGACGTTTAACTGACTTTAACCCGGATTCGAACTGGAGACTTTCGGGTTAGCAGTCAAGCTCTCTACCGCCAGACCACGCCATCCCATCGAACATTTAAACGTAGCTCAAATCTGAGACCATTTCAAGCTTAGGTCAGGAAAAAAAACAATGCTTCCTTCTTCTTCTTCTTCTTCTTCGTACTTAATATTAGTGTTGGAAGGGATCCACTCCAACACAATTAAGTATACGTGTCAACTGGTTATGCGCCATTGACTCCGATTTCAGCCTGCTTTTCTTTTTGGATTTGTTTCCTTAGCCTTTGTCCAACCCAGAACAATAATTAGCTTCCATATTACATCATTTTATAGACTGATACCATAGCGTAAATCTGTAGACATTTTATCCAGAAAGTTCGAGAACAACATTACATGGACGGACGTGGTGGGGGATGCCGTGTGGACTGTGGGGTACTACAAGGTGCCAGAGAGGGAAGAGAAGGAGGTTTTTACCACGGACGCCAGAAAGTTTGGGTGTTACGTCTACGGCGTGGCGGAGACGATCAGCTACATGCATCCGGCGGGGTTTGTTTCGTCTGATGTTGAACAGGTGAGGGGTGGGGACGTAGGTGAGGGGTGGGGACGTAGGTGAGGGGTGGGGACTATAGGTGAGGGGTGGGGACAATAGGTGAGGGGTGGGGACTATAGGTGAGGGGTGGGGACTATAGGTGAGGGGGGAGACGATCAGCTACACGCATCCCGCGGGGTTTGTTTCGTCTGATGTTGAGCAGGTGAGGGGGGGGGGGGGGACTATAGGTGTGGGGTGGGGACAATAGGTGAGGGGGAGACGATCAGCTACACGCATCCCGCGGGGTTTGTTTCGTCTGATGTGGAGCAGGTGAGGGGTGGGGGACTATGAGGGGTGGGGACTATGAGGGGTGGGGACTGCTAGGTGAGGGGTGGGGACTATGAGGGGTGGGGACTATGAGGGGTGGGGACTGCTAGGTGAGGGGTGGGGACAATAGGTGAGGGGTGGGGACTATGAGGGGTGGGGACTATGAGGTGTGGGGACTGCTAGGTGAGGGGCGGCGACTATGAGGTGTAGGGTCTGCTAGGCGAGGGGTGGGGTCTACTAGGTGAGGGGCGGGGACTATGAGGGGTGGTGTCTGCTATTTGATGGGTTGGATCTATTAGGTGAGGGGTGGGGTCTTTTAGGTGAGGAGCTGAGTCTGATGTTGGACAGGTGATGGGCGGGGTCTTTGAGGGTGGGGTCAGTTAGGTGAAAATTGTTGTCTTTAAGGTGTTGGGTGTATTCGGCGAGGGGTGGTTCTTGTGTTAGACAGATGATGGGTATGGTGTTTTATGTGAGGGGTGGGGGGTCTATTCTGATAGGGGTGGGGGTCTGTTATGATAGGGGTGGTGACTGTTAGCCTGTTATAAGCATCTTTGTTTATAGTAGAGCGTCAGTAGAAAATCACATGTAAGTTAACAGCCAGTTTACGGAACCTACCTCCCCCCCTCTCCCCCTCCCCAGATTTTCTGTATGAAGACAAGAGGTGACCCTGGGGATCTGATGGACAACGATTGTGACGGGTGGGTGGACGAGGAATACGAGAACAGCAGAGGTAGATATGTAGGCCTACATGTAGGTTTGGTTGATATATGAAAGCACGTATTTGTGTTTAAGGGAAACGGCAGGAAAATATGCGACCATCGTTAAACTTTTAGACTTAACTCTTTGAGCTATAGATCTATATGCTAGATGTGATACCATGAGGTTTTGAAAAAAGAATTTTGGCTAATTTTGTATTCATCACCAGACCATGTCCTTAATAAATCTCTCAGGTTTAGAAAAAAAAAGTGTGTTATCAATTAATATTATTGTCTTGTCTTGATTGTAGATGATGATAAAGATGGCTACATAGACGAAGATCTGGTGGCTAGACCTCGGAGTAAGTTGTAGTTGACGTCAAATGGTGTGGGTTTTAGCTCGTGAGATAGTTCTTATTGGGAACAGCGTGGTCGGATGGTAGAGCTCTCGGACTGCTAACCTGTAAGTCTCGAGTTCGGATCTTATTGGGCCCGGCGTGGTCGGATCATAGAGCTTACGACTGCTAACCTGAATGTCAAGTTCGGATCTCGGGCTTAAGTCTGTAGTCCGTCATTTAGTTCACCCAACTCTGATGGGTACCTGACTCACGTTAGGGAAACAAAGGCCGCAGGGCATAGTGCTGACCACACTACTCCTTCAATGGTGAGTTCATTAAAACATATAAAACCTACCGCTTGATGTGCCACCAGCATGAACAGAAAAATATGATTGGCAATACTTCATTATCTGTTATCGAGCCACATGGATCTCGAGAGATCATAAAACAAAATTTTCAATATTTGGGGACGTAATTTGGACATTTTGTTTTAGAGAGAATTAATATGTGACGTCAAACCTTTTCCTCTCCCTACAGAACACGGTGGGTGGAGCGACTGGGGGGAGTGGCACTGTGCTGAGAACTGTATCAACTCCTTCTTGGTCAGGGAAAGGTCAGTCTTTTATGTGTTGGAGAGGTCAGTCTTTCTTTGTGATGGAGTCAGTCTTTTTTGTAGGGGTCAGCGTGGTAGAGTCGGTTAAAACTCATTATGGCGCATAACCAGTTGACACGTAAATCTTAAGCGTGTTGGAAAGGGGTAGGCGTGGTCTAGTCGGTAAAACTCAAGGTTGATAAACCGAAAAGTCTCGAGTTCGATCCCTTCCTACACTAAAAATTAAGAAAAAAAGAAAAAGAAGAAGAAAATCTTTTTTTTTTGTGAGGGAAAGGGCAGTCTTTCTTGGTCAGGGAAAGGTCAGTATCTATTGTAAAGGGGAGGTCAGTCTTTATTCGAGGGCCATTGCAGTTTTGAAAAGCGCGAGAGTTTAGTCTTGTTGTGTGACAGGGTTAGTCATTTTCGTCTAGGAATGTTGAAACGTAAAAAACTATTGACACACTGCACACAGATCTGTAAACACGCTACACATCATTGTGTGTTGACCCACTACACGCCCAGGTGTGTTGACCCACTACACACCCAGGTGTGTTGACCCACTAAACGCCCAGGTGTGTTGACCCAGTACACGCCCAGGTGTGTTGACCCACTACACACCCCGGTGTGTTGACCCACTACACACCCCGGTGTGTTGACCCACCCAGGTGTGTTGACCCACACCTCGGTAACACACGTGTGTTTCAGGGCCTGTAACCTGCCAGAGCTGGAGAACTGCGGCCGCTACTGTAAGGGTTCACACAAGGACAACAACAGCAAGCCGTGCTTTGTGGCCTGTGAAAGTAAACATTTGGTTGATAACTTTTGTCGTGGATGTTAACATTGGTCGTGGGTGTTAACATTTGTCGTGGTTGTTAACATTTGTCATGGATGTTAACATTTGTCGTGGGTGTTAACATTTTTCGTTGTTGTTAACAATTGTCGTGGTTGTTAACATTTGTCGCGGCTGTTAACATTAGTCCTGATTGTTAAAAATGTGTCGTGGTTGTTAACATTTGGCGTGGTTGTTAACAATTCTCGTGGTTGTTAACATTTGTTGTTGTTAACATTTTGTCGTGGTTGTTAACATTTGTCCTGGTTGTTAACTTTGGTAGTGGTTGTTAACTTTGGTCATGGTTTTTAACATTTGTCGTGGTTGTTAACATCTGTCGTGGTTGTTAACATTTGTCGTGGTTGTTAACATTTGTCGTGGTTGTTAACTTTGGTCATGGTTGTTAACATTTGTCGTGGTTGTTAACATTTGTCGTGGTTGTTAACATTTGTCGTGGTTGTTAACATTTATCGTGGTTGTTAACATTTGTCGTGGTTGTTAACATTTGTCGTGGTTGTTAACATTTGTCGTGGTTGTTAACATTTGTCGTGGTTGTTAACATTTGTCGTGGTTGTTAACTTTGGTCATGGTTGTTAACATTTGTCGTGGTTGTTAACATCTGTCGTGTTTGTTAACATTTGTCGTGGTTGTTAACATTTGTCGTGGTTGTTAACATTTGTCGTGGTTGTTAACATTTGTCGTGGTTGTTAACATTTGTCCTGGTTGTTAACATTTGTCGTGGTTGTTAACATTTGTCGTGGTTGTTAACATTTGTCCTGGTTGTTAATTTTTAATTTTGGGTGTTAACTTTTGTTGATGGGTGTAAATTTAGTTGGTGATGTTACAATTTTGTTGTGAAAGTGAACATTTCCTTTTGATGTTAATATTTGCTTGTGGATTTTAACATTTGTGCATGAAAGTAAATATTTGGATGTTTGTCATGATTGTTAACATGTGTCAACTTTTTAATGAATGTCAGTATTCGTTTATGAAAGTAAAAATTTCGTGCAGATTAATATTTATGTTGTAGATGTTAACATTGGGTAAACACTTGTGTGGGATGTTAACTTATGTTTTGAGTGTTAACATGTGTTAATGAAAGTAAACATGTCGTGGAAATGTTAAATCTTAGTCGTAAATACTAACATTTGGTTTTGCGTGTCCATATTTGTTGGTAAATGTTAACGTTTTATTGGTTAAGGTAACCATTTTGTTTGGATTTTAACTCTTGTTCGTAACAGTTTACATTGGCTTCAGATATTGGTATGTGAATGTTTACTGCCATTGTGGATGTTAACGTTTGTTTGAGAAGTCAACTTTGGTGGTGGATGTTAACATTTGTTTGAGGAGTTAACTTTGGTTGTGGATGTTAACATTTGTTTGAGAAGTTAACTTCGGCTGTGGATGTTAAATTTTTGTTTAATGATTTAATTTTGGCTGTGGATGTTAACATTTGGCTGAGGATTTAACTGTAGATGTTGATGTTAACATTTGTTTAAGGATTTAAGTCTGGTTGAGTATGTTAACATTTGTTTGTGGATTTAAGTCTGGTTGAGTATGTTAACATTTGTTTGATGATTTAGCTCTGGTTGTGTATGTTAACATTTGTTTGATGATTTAGCTCTGGTTGAGTATGTTAACATTTGTTTGAGGATTTAAGTCTGGTTGAGTATGTTAACATTTGTTTAATGATTTAAGTCTGGTTGAGTATGTTAACATTTGTTTAATGATTTAAGTCTGGTTGAGTATGTTAACATTTGTTTGAGGATTTAGCTCTGGTTGAGTATGTTAACATTTGTTTGAGGATTTAAGTCTGGTTGAGTATGTTAACATTTGTTTAATGATTTAAGTCTGGTTGAGTATGTTAACATTTGTTTAATGATTTAAGTCTGGTTGAGTATGTTAACATTTGTTTAATGATTTAAGTCTGGTTGAGTATGTTAACATTTGTTTGAGGATTTAGCTCTGGTTGAGTATGTTAACATTTGTTCATCTCGTGTCACTGTCACTCTGTACAGTCTGTGACAAGGGTCAGTTCGGGCCGAAATGTGACATGTACTGTCGCAACTGTGACCCCGACTGTGACAAGGTCACTGGCAGGTGTGAAGTGTGTAAACCTGGATATCGCTTCCCTAACGCAAGCTGCAACACACGTAAGTCTGAGTACACACGTAGGATGAGTACATGTAACTTTAATTGTGTACTCACGTAAGTCTATTTGTGTACCCAAATTAGTCTGAATGAGCACCTACTTAAGTTCTGTACACATAACTCTATCTTTTTTCACACATGTAAGCAGTGTTTCTTCCAGACATTTTTCTCGGGGGTGGGGTCTGGTTCAGTGTTTCTTCCAGACTTTTTTCTCCGGGGGGGCACTTGAAATCTTCGGGGGGGCGGTAAACTTTCTTCGGGGGGGCGGACACTGTTAAAAGTATATATTTTCTATATAAATTATATAAATTTCATTTCGTTCGGGGGGGCGGTAAAAAATTTTCGGGGGGGGCTTCGCCCCCCCGAAGAGATGCCTGGAAGAAACTCTGGTCTGGTTTTGTACATAGATTGTATAGACGTACATAATCCTAACTTTGTACACACTTGCACGTCAGGCTTTCAACACACGTAATTTGCACACACACACACAAGACTGGCTTTAAAGGCTTTTAAAATGGTAGTTAAATATGTTTGGGTTAAGGAAATGTGTGTTAACTTCACATACAAATACAAATCATATAAACTACTTTATTTCAATAAGTATTGTGTAGATCATAACTATTGATTAAGTTCAGTATATAAAACGTTTAAATAGTTGGATATACAGTTGTTTTAGGATAGAAGATCAATACATTAAGTTGTTGGGATAGATTAATACATAATGTTGTATGGCATTGGATAAAAGATTATAATGTATTGCATGGGACAAAAGATCATTATAAAATGCTGTATGGCATGGGATAATAGACCACACCTAATGTTGTATGCATGTTACAGTACTTAGTGTGATATTGTGAGACCTATGTACGGGTACAGGGCATTGATCTCTGACCTTTGCCCTCACAGCCTGCCCCCGCTGGACATGGGGAGAGAACTGCAAGGGGGAGTGTGCCAGCAAGTGTAGCGCCGACTGCGAGAACAGGGTCACGGGGGACTGTCCAGGTAATGTTTGACCAGTGGTCAGTTTGACGGGGGATGTCCTGGTAATGCTTGACCAGTGGTCAGTTTGATGGGGGGAGGGGTGTCCAGGTAATGCTTGACCAGTGGTCAGTTTGATGGGGGACTGTCCAGGTAATGCTTGACCATTGGTCAGTTTTGATGGGGGACTGTCCAGGTAATGCTTGACCAGTGGTCAGTTTTAATGGGGGACTGTCCAGGTAATGCTTGACCAATGGTCAGTTTTAATGGGGGACTGTCCAGGTAATGCTTGACCAGTGGTCAGTTTTGATGGGGGACTGTCCAGGTAATGCTTGACCAGTGGTCAGTTTTGATGGGGGACTGTCCAGGTAATGCTTGACCAGTGGTCAGTTTTGATGGGGGACTGTCCAGGTAATGTTTGACCAGTGGTCAGTTTGACGAGGGAGGGATGTACAGGTAATGCTTGACCAGTGGTCAGTTTACTGAGGGGGACTGTCCAGGTAATGCTTGACCAGTGGTCAGTTTGACGGAGGAGTGTCCAAGTAATGTTTGACCACTGGTCAGTTTGACGGGGGAGGAGTGTCCAGGTAATGCTTGACCAGTGGTCAATTTGACGGATGAGTGTCCAGGTAATGCTTAACCAGTGATCAGTTTACTGAGGAGAGTGTCCAGGTAATGCTTGACCACTGGTCAGTTTGACGGGAGGGGAGGGGGGAATGTTTGACCAGTGGTCAGTTTGACGTGGGTGGAGGGGCGTGTACGCATCAGCACATAAACTAACCTACCACGGCGGGCATGCAAAAGGGAGGTAATTCTACTTACACCTAAAGCAGTAGCGTAGCGAGGGGGGGACATATGTCCCCGGGCGCCGACCTTAGGGGGCGCCAAAATGGGTTGGATAAATAAATTGAAAGGTTGAGGGGGGTGCAAATCGAAAGTTTGAGGGGGGTGCAAATCGAAAAGTTTGTACCCGGGCGTCGGGAAGGGTCGCTACGCCTCTGATCTAAAGCGTGCGGCGTCAAAACGGCTAATGACAAAACGGCCCCGTCAAAACGACCCTGACAAAACGACCCCGTCAAAACGACCTCGTCAAATCGGCCCCGTCAAAAGGGCCAGCGACATATGGACCCCGTCATATAGGCTCCCGACAAATAGGCTCCCGTCATTTAGGCTACCGACAAATAGGCTCCCGTTATATAGGCTCCCGACAAAAGGGCTCCAGTCAATAAGGCTCCTGACAAATAGGCTCCCGTCATTTAGTTTCTTCCACAAAACGGCCCCCGTCATTACGACTCCCGACAAATAGGCTCCCGCCATTTAGTTTCTCCACAAAACGGCCCCCGTCATTACGACTCCAGACAAATAGGCTAGCGTCATTTTGGCTCACGACAAAAAGGCTCCTGTCAATTCGGCTCCAGACAAAAGGACCACTGACACAGTGGCGTAGCTACCGTAAAGCTAGCGTAAGCAAGGCAGAGGGGCCCAAGGCACATAGGGGCCCTTTTCCCTCATAAAAAATTAAAACTTTTACAATGGATTTTTAATATTTGTTACATATAAATAATTTTAAAAAAGAAAAAGGTTAAAAGTTCCAAAAAGCCCCCCCCCCCCCCCCACCGTTTCGGCAGTGGGATTCAGTGTGTGTGTGTGTGGGTCAAACAGAGCCCACTCGTTATAATAACACTACAGGCGATATCACTTTGTCGTGCAAGACATTGAGAGAATCAGCCTATAAATAAACTTTTAGCAGTAGTAGGCAAACATAATAATATAGTATAAATACATAATCAGGACATATAAAATACAAAATGTTGCCTTCAGAATATTTATACATTAAAAAATATCCATCGTAAGTAGAAGTTGATCTCTTCGTTTAACTCCTCTGTAGCCTAACGCAGAGGCGTAGCGAAGGCGGGGCGGGGGTGCGGACCGCAACGGGTGACACCATTTAGGGGGGTGACACCAAATTGCAAAATTTATAGAATGAAATGCCATTTTTCCAGATCTATTAGTTAAAGTTAAATAGTCTTCTAAGTACAAATCGAAAATTATATCAAGGGGGGGGGGGGGTGTGACACCACGACGTAAACGTAAACTATAAAGAAAACAATGCTACATCCAACGGTATTATAAACAGACTGTAGATAAACATCATAACTATTAAGTCTGCAGTGATTAAAGCTTATGCACGTACGTGTACCAGTATGTGGCACATATATAAATTTTAGGCCTATGTAGGCCGATACACACACACACATATATATATATATATATATATATATATATATATATATATATATATATATATATATATATATATATATATATATATATATATATGCTTTGTTTCCTGGGAGGAGGTGACAATACGAAGTGCCGCACCGGGTAACACCTGACCTAGCGACGCCACTGGTCTAACGGCTGACGAAGGGGCCCACTGATAATTTTTGCATAGGGGCCCAAAATCCTAGCTACGGCACTGCACTGACAATACCGTTTCTGTAGAGACTAAGTCTCCCGGCAAAGCGGTCTCATTGAATATGACACCTACCAGTGGGACCCCTTCATCAATATTCTTTAGAGTTAGCTTATCCAACACTCTTATGTAATACAACGTATGCATCTCTTGTTCGACAGGCCTTATTTTTATATTAGTTTATCTATTATACAATATAGTATGTTTTAATGTAAGGGTCATCTATCTATGACATCCATAATTGAGTCGGTTATAGGCTGTTCCAACTCAGTGTGTGGGGAGAAGGGTCCACGCTGTACCTTCCTAACTGCAATATGCTTGTAGATTATCAAAACAAAATGCTGTTATCATGTAAACATCATGTATATCATACATTTACACTTCTGTGCTCGCTTTTAAGCAACATATCTTTTCTGTTGTAAATTAAACATTATCAAAACTTTAGAATTGGTGGAATTTAGCTGTTAAGGGCTCGATTTGTTTGTGAATTAATGTTGGTTCATGAAAAACAATTTCATTCGGGCATTAAAAAGAGGTTATAGTGGTATTGGAGGTAGGACACAATGGTTACTTTTATGCCAATAGTGGTCATATCATTCATTTTTCTGGAGCCAATATGTCGGGAGTCATTTTGTCAAAAGCCAATATGTCGGGAGCCCAATTGCCGGGAGCCAATATGTCGGGAGCCCATTTGTCGGTAGCCAATATGTCGTGAGCCCATTTGCCGGGAGCCCATTTGTCTTGAGCCCTTATGTCGGGAGCCAATATGTCGAGAGCCGCTTTGTCGGGAGCCAATATGTCCTGAGCCTATTTGTCAGGGGTTAATATGTCGGGAGTCCATTTGTCGGGAGCCTAAATATCGGGAGCCCATTTGTCGGGAGCCTATATGTCGCAAGTCAATATGACGGGAGCCCATTTGACGGGAGCCAATAAGTCGGGGCCCTTTTGACGGGGCTATTTTGACTGGGTCGTTTTGTCGGGGGTCGATTTGACGGGGTCAAATTAACGGGGCCGTTTTGACGGGGCCGATTTGTCCCGGGCCGTTTTGACAGGGCACCGATCTAAAGACATAAACCAGTGAATGCCCCTGTTGAATGTGACGTTTGTCTTCTCCCAGAGTCAATGAGCAGTACGTACATTCTTCTAGCGGCCCTCTTTGTGTTACCACTGGCTTGTTTCGTCATCTTCAACTGTCACAAGTAATTCATTCCGTTCATCTTGTGTTTAGTGGTTTGATTTTCTCCATTATTCATAGATTTAAATTGTTTTAATTATTTTGTTGCATTAAGGTTTATTGTTTATTTTGCTGCATTAGGGTTTATTGTTTATTGTGTTGCATTAGGGTTTATTGTTTATTTTGTTGTATTAATTAAATGTATTGCGTGTAGGTTGTATACGTATGAAGTAAGTAGGTTTTAATTCCGTTATAGGTCTATATGTCTATATGTAATATTTAATAGAATTTGATAGAACGTTCTAACCTTCTTGGTTTTCATCGTGTTTTTTTACACACTAACTTTAACTTAGCGTGAGATAGCATAAAACGTAAATAATCTGACTTGCTGCCTTCAACTCATCGCAACAAATAGTTCAACCATCATTTCTTACCACATTTTCACCAGAGTTTCTTCCAGGCATCTCTTCGGGGGGGGGGGCTAAGCCCCCCCCCCCCCCCCCCCCGAAAAATTTTTACCGCCCCCCCGAACGAAATTAAATTTATATAATTTATATAGAAAATATATACTTTTAACAGTGTCCGCCCCCCCCCCCCCCGAAGAAAGTCTACCGCCCCCCCGAAAATTTCAAGTGCCCCCCCCCCCCCCGGAGAAAAAAGTCTGGAAGAAACACTGATTTTCACGCGCATTACATAACAAAGCATAGGATCAAAACAGAAAGCCGACACGGTACAAAGACTGTCATTGACGCAAAAGTCTAAAACACACAATATGGACGGATTAGGCCGACACAGGAAAAACCGATCAAGGAATGACCTGCGGCTAAAAAAAACACATGCAAAACACAATGATGTGCCTAAATGTCTTTAATAAATTTTTTTTTTACTACCGCGTATTTAGCTAAATACGTAACAAAATTTGAGGTTTGCTGTATAAATTATCTTATAGTATTTTTACGTATTATTGTTTTAAACCATCTATCTATCCATCTATCTATCTATATACTACTAAAAGTCAAGTTTGTTTACATGTTTGAATATTTATTTTTTTGTTTGTTTTTTTTGTTTGTTTTTTTCTTTGCCTGATTGACTATCTCGCATGGTTGCACTCATCGTGGAGAGCTGTAAAATAGTATGTAGGTAGAGAAAAATTTTTGTTTTAAAACAGACTGTTAATCACAAATTTATTTAAAGACGTTAATTAATTTATTGATTTATTCATAGTTAAATTAACCGTATTTTTTTAAAAATGTTAATACTTTGAATAAACTTTGTGGGGATAGTGACGTCCCTTGATGTGTTTACATTTTTGGTACAATAAAAATGGCGGACTCCATCATAGACTTTGTGGCCCATTCAAAAGTTTAACGCGTTACAAAGCTAATTTTCTGCTGGCTATAACTTAAACAATACGTCCGTTTGCTGTATTTATTACGTTCCAACACTTATATCAATTTTCAACTGTCTTTTTCATTTAGTTTTACGATAAATTTCTCTAGATCTAAAGATCAGCTGTCGAGAATCTAGCCTAGGGCCTAGATTCTAGATCTAGATCTAGGTCACTAGACTCATTGTAAATTCTAGATCTAGACTTAATGTAAATTCTACATCTAGAATCTATTTCGGGCCTTAATTATTTTATATAAATCTTTGTTTAGCTTCAATGATCATCTAATTCGAGAATACATGGGATTTTTTTGTTATCTAGGTTTTATATCTAGATATAGTAGGATTACTCACTAACTTGGAGGCGTGGTCGGCTGCTAACAACAATATGGCGTACGGACCGGACGAATGACTTCCTACCATTTTTAGGCCATGTTTACCACGAGCAAAATGGCGGGTGTTCACATTATTTAAACATGGTATAGGTGGCCAGGGCTAGATATGCCAGAAAAGCATTTTAAAATTTGCTTTGGAGAATGAAGGCTAAATTTTAAAGCCAGTGTCATAAACATTAATAGAACTTTTTTTTTTTTTTACGTTTTCAATTATTTTTTCTTAAGCCCTATATGTGAATGATAAGGTTGACTATCAGGACCTCGCGGGGCACAGGGCACGTGAAGTAGGGTTCATCTGTTTCTTTGTCCTAAGCAAATGAAGGGATAGTGTGGTCAGAGACATGCTTGGCTGGAATCGTTTTTGTTGTCTGAGACTTTGCGGGACACTGGGCAGGTGAAGTAGAGTTGAGTAGGTCACCTGTGACGTCAATATATGAAGGGATAGTCCGAAATCGTTGTTTTCGGTGTTTTTAAAAGATAAAAAACATATTTTTGAATGTGGGGTCTGTTTTTTGTGACGATAAGTGACACTGCAGTAGCGTAGCGAGGAGGGGGGGGGGCGGGAGGGAAGGCGAGGCGGGGGGGGGGGGTGGGGGGGGACATATGTTGGGGCGCCAAAATGGTTTGGAAAAATAAATTGAAAGGTTGAGGGGGGTTCAAATGGAAAGTTTGAGTGGGGGGGGTGCACATCAAAAGTTTGAAGGGGGTGGGGGGGGGGGGGGGGTTGAAAATCGAAATCTTGGGGGGGGGGGTTCAAATCGAAAAGTTTGTCCCCGGGCGCCGGGAAGGGTCGCTATGCCTCTGAGTGACAGACGTGATGTTTTTTGATGGATGACCCCCGAAACCCACAGTTATCCAACGGATGACGGGTATTCTAGTATACTACTAAAAGTCAAGTTTGTTTACATGTTTGAATATTTATTTTTTTTGTTTGTTTGCCTGATTGACTATTGTGATATGTTCGACTCTATCTGGAAAGCTGTAAAATAGTATGCAGGTAGAGAATAATTTTTTAATGCAGACAGACTGTTGATCACAAATTTATTTAAAGACGTTAATTAATTTATTGATTTATTCATAGTTAAATTAACCGTATTTTTTTAAAAATGTTAATACTTTGAATAAACTTTGTGGGGATAGTGACGTCCCTTGATGTGTTTACATTTTTGGTACAATAAAAATGGCGGACTCCATCATAGACTTTGTGGCCCATTCAAAAGTTTAACGCGTTACAAAGCTAATTTTCTGCTGGCTATAACTTAAACAATACGTCCGTTTGCTGTATTTATTACGTTCCAACACTTATATCAATTTTCAACTGTTTTTTTCATTTAGTTTTACGATAAATTTCTCTAGATCTAAAGATCAGCTGTCGAGAATCTAGCCTAGGGCCTAGATTCTAGATCTAGATCTAGGTCACTAGACTCATTGTAAATTCTAGATCTAGACTTAATGTAAATTCTACATCTAGAATCTATTTCGGGCCTTAATTATTTTATATAAATCTTTGTTTAGCTTCAATGATCATCTAATTCGAGAATACATGGGATTTTTTTGTTATCTAGGTTTTATATCTAGATATAGTAGGATTACTCACTAACTTGGAGGCGTGGTCGGCTGCTAACAACAATATGGCGTACGGACCGGACGAATGACTTCCTACCATTTTTAGGCCATGTTTACCACGAGCAAAATGGCGGGTGTTCACATTATTTAAACATGGTATAGGTGGCCAGGGCTAGATATGCCAGAAAAGCATTTTAAAATTTGCTTTGGAGAATGAAGGCTAAATTTTAAAGCCAGTGTCATAAACATTAATAGAACTTTTTTTTTTTTTTTTACGTTTTCAATTATTTTTTCTTAAGCCCTATATGTGAATGATAAGGTTGACTATCAGGACCTCGCGGGGCACAGGGCACGTGAAGTAGGGTTCATCTGTTTCTTTGTCCTAAGCAAATGAAGGGATAGTGTGGTCAGAGACATGCTTGGCTGGAATCGTTTTTGTTGTCTGAGACTTTGCGGGACACTGGGCAGGTGAAGTAGAGTTGAGTAGGTCACCTGTGACGTCAATATATGAAGGGATAGTCCGAAATCGTTGTTTTCGGTGTTTTTAAAAGATAAAAAAACATATTTTTGAATGTGGGGTCTGTTTTTTGTGACGATAAGTGACACTGCAGTAGCGTAGCGAGGAGGGGGGGGGGGGGCGGGAGGGAAGGCGAGGCGGGGGGGGGGGGGGGTGGGGGGGGACATATGTTGGGGCGCCAAAATGGTTTGGAAAAATAAATTGAAAGGTTGAGGGGGGTTCAAATGGAAAGTTTGAGTGGGGGGGGGGGGGGGGGTGCACATCAAAAGTTTGAAGGGGGTGGGGGGGGGGGTTGAAAATCGAAATCTTGGGGGGGGGGGGGGGGGGGGTTCAAATCGAAAAGTTTGTCCCCGGGCGCCGGGAAGGGTCGCTATGCCTCTGAGTGACAGACGTGATGTTTTTTGATGGATGACCCCCGAAACCCACAGTTATCCAACGGATGACGGGTATTCTAGTAATGCTTTAAAGTTTGCAAAAATGCTACAAAAAAGCACCACTCACATAAATAAACAGTCAAAATTTAACAATACACAACAATTGAATTTTAAAAACTATTTCTTAAAATATTTTTGTGACGTTTTTCTGTGAATATATTTCTGTAACTTTTTTCCGATAAAAGTTTTCCTTAGTTGCTTTTTTTCTGTGACTTTTTTCCTAGCAAAAACTGTGACTTTTTTCTGTTTTTTTTTCCTGTGACTTTTTATTTTTTTTTCGTTCAACGGCCCACCACATGGTACCCAGCTTAACCGTGGGGGTTGTTCAGATACTTGCTGTAAATTAAATCAAATTTCGTATGCGCTGTATTTACCCCCCCCCCCTACATCACCATCCTCACCCCTCTCCGTATTTCAGAAAACGCCGCGGCTCTAAGGATGACGACGACGACGACGACGACAATGACACGTACGTGCCCAACATCGCCACCCTGAAGAAGATGTTCAAGGAGAAGTCCATCGTCGCGGCCAAGAAGGGCGGCTCGGACCAGACCTCAGCCACAGACACCAGTTAGACCGTTGCCATGGAAACTGGCTTTTTTTTTTGTTTTATGTGAATTAAAAACTTTTTTTTATCTAACCTTATGCTTCGCTCTTTTTTTATGATTTTAAAATTAGTTTCTTAAAAATAGTTTTCAAGTAGTGTCTGAGATGTCATTAAGTTCATAGTGATGCGAATAGATAGAGTCTCTGGTCACATCATGTGTGATGTAAGGAGATGGGAGATGAAACATTGACATAAATTGACGCTTAAGACTGATATCCACAACAGCTGCCGATATGAGTAATGCAGGAAACTTGGTTCTGTTTTTCTGAGCCCATCCAGCTATAATTGGTACCTGACTCGTTTGGAAAAGTAAATGTGGCTATGCATAGTGCTGATCACACTATAATTTTCATATGCATGGGTCAGAGATTCAGATGGAATCTACTTCATCTTTCGATATAAATCGTCACGACTAAAAAGTTGACTACTTTAAAAATACACTTTTACATTACTTGACAATAGTATCATCTGTTACCTGCCAAAAATATCATGCTATCAACAAGTTAGGGGTCCGCTTGGTCGAATTGGTAAAGCTCTTGGCTTCTAAACCAAAAAGTCTCGAGTTCGAACCCTCGGGCAGATGAGGCTCGTTAGCTGGGGACAGCAACACTTCTAGGAGAAGACAACTCCAAAATCAACCAACTGCTGCCTCGTAGTTTGTTCTTGATTGGACAAAGGCTATGGAAGCAAATCCAAAAAGAAAAGCAGGCTGAATTCAGAGTCAAATCCTCAATGGCGCATAACCAGTTGACACGTATATGCCTACTTAATGGACACCAGCGAGAAAAGTCTCAAAGGTATTTGAGAGGTGTATAAATTCATTTAAAAATCATGCACAGCGTAGTTACAATTAATATGGTTATAAAATCCTGTCTATCTGGTTTTTTTCGGACTTTACTAAAGATTGGATGTATTTGATGTTTATAATATTTTCGGTAACTAAATAAAAATTTAAAAAAAAAGCAAAAACAATTTGGTTTTCACGTGTAATGGCGACATAAACAATGGCATCCTGCTATTGGATAGGCCGCCATTGATTTTATTGTACACATTGTAAGCTAAAAATAGAAAACTAGGTCATGGGGTTTTAAATTTGCATTGTCATTTAAAAACTTGATCTGCAAAGTTTTGTAAACAAATAGTTATCGATCACTAAGTTACTGTACAGCCAATCAATATTTGTCTTACGAAAGTGAAACATCCGGTTATAACTTAGGCTTGATGAAAATAAATAGAAATGTAGCCTTAAACTCAACAAATTATTTTCAAGTTCTCTGGATTTGCAACTTTTATAGCATTTATTCTAAAAATATAACATTTCTAAATTAATTTTAGGCTTAAGTTTTTTTTTTTTATTTTTTTTTACGGTCTAAATCTAAAAAGCACGTTTTTATTCCATGTCAACAACATTGGGGACGGAATCTCGTCAACTCGCTCGCCTCCATTGTGTTGGATGGATCCCTTCCAACACTAAAATTAAGAACGCAGAAGACCAAGTTATGCGAAACATTTTTGACGAATTCAACGCTTGTACCTGTGTCCTCACAGTTGGGAACACGCCAAATTCTGTTCTCGGGTTCAAGTCCGAATCCATGGTGATTTAATATTATTGCATTTTCAGTTTTCGCCTGTATGTTGTTTGTGCGCGCACCTAAAGACACTTCTACTGAACACAACTTAGTTTCGTTTCATGAAACAGGAAATAAACAAGAGCAACATTTTAAACAATACCAGTGTTTATAAAAGATTTAGCTACAAAATAACTATATGTTAGGTTTGTTTTTCTCAGTTATAACATTAATACAAATTGTATTGTTTAGCTTCAGTAAAATCGTAAGCCGTCAAAACAATCTGTAAACAGGCGATTTTTAAAAGTTCGGATCTTAATGGTTATTGTGAAATCATTGACAGAGAGTTACTAGATCATGACTTTTATAAGTATCGACATCTTAACCTTAACGCTGGCCTACTCCTAAGACCTAAAACTAAATGTAATCATTTTGCTGATCCTGTCGTTAAGTTTATCCCTTACCATAATCTTGACCCTCACTCTGCATCTGTAAGCACACACACACACGTTGTAGGACGAATAGCCCATTACATCTGTAAGTTAACACACATAATATTTAGCAGTACACATTTAGCAGTACGACTAGCTTATTACATATGTAACCATAGAGACACACATTTAGCAATACGACTAGCTCATTACATCTGTAAGCACACACAGACATATAGACTAGCTTACTACAAATGTCAGCAAACACACACACATACACAGTGGCGTAGCGAGGTCGGGTGTCACCCGGTGCGGCACTTAATGGTGTCACCCCCCCAGAGGCGTAACGACCCTTCCCGGGGACAAACTTTCAAATTTTCGATTCGCACCCCCCCCCCCCCCTCAAACTTTCGATTTGCACCCCCTCTCAAGTTTTTCTCTATATATTTTGCTATTTTTTTCCTTGGTGTCATCCCCCTAAATAGTGTCACCCGGTGCGGTCCGCACCCCCCCCCCTCGCTACGCCCCTGCACATACATATAGCAGTACAACTAGTTACCTATCATGCTGAAGTGTTCATCAGAAAATAACAAATCTAGATGTATTTCATATTGGACTGTGTGACCCTAGCTATTGAACGCTTCTCACATTTGTTTTCAAATGTCTTCACAGACCCTCTCCATTGTTTATGTGATGACATATCACCACGATGGTTAGATGGTTTACTGTTCTGTTCTTCATGGTACAGTTTGTGTGTGAGAGTATTTCAGGTAGGTTACATATAAGTTTGTAGGTGGGTTGATGTGTATTTGGATCGGATAGGTATTTGGTTTATTTAGAAAAGTAGTGTATTTCGACAAATTGTATGTAGTTATTTTGGATTAGGTAGCTGGTGTATTTAGAAAAAAGTAGCTGCTTGATGTATTTTGACAAGTATTAATTTTGTGTATTTGAACAATTAGCTGTTGAATTTCGAAACATATTTGGTGTATTTAGGAAAGTACGACAATTTGTATGCATTTTATTTGGACAAGCAGTTAGTATTCAGAAAAGTAGTTAGTTGGTGTATTTTGACATGTAGCTTTCATCTTTTTCCAATTTTTCCCCAAACACTTGGAGCAGATGAAGTAGATTCCATCTGTTTCAGTGACATCGGCATATGATAGTGTAGTCAGCACAATGCCTAACCGCGTTTACTTACCCTATCTTGAGTCAGGTACCTATCAGAGCTGGGTGGACTCAGGCATGTTCTACTCGAGACTTTCGGGTTAGCAGTCTTTACCACTCGGCAATGCCGTGCCATATTTCGACATGTAGTAGGTTCTGTTCTGAACAAGTATCTGGTGAATTAGCAGAAGTAGTCACCTAGTTTCCACGTACCGAATTTACACTCCCTGGGTTAGCAGGCTCCTGTACTACCTCTACACCACACCGCTCTACTATAAATCTAGCACCAACATGTCAACCGACTGTCTAGATGTCAACTGACTGTCTAGATGTCAACTGACTGTCTAGATGTCAACTGACTGTCTAGATGTCAACGGACTGTCTAGATGTCAACTGACGGTCTAGATGTCAACGGACTGTCTAGATGTCAACGGACTGTCTAGATGTCAACGGACTGTCTAGATGTCAACTGACTGTCTAGATTGCAACTGACTGTCTAGATGTCAACTGACTGTCTAGATGTCAACTGACTGTCTAGATGTCAACTGACTGTCTAGATGTCAACTGACTGTCTAGATGTCAACTGACTGTCTAGATGTCAACTGACGGTCTAGATGTCAACGGACTGTCTAGATGTCAACGGACTGTCTAGATGTCAACTGACTGTCTAGATGTCAACTGACTGTCTAGATGTCAACTGACTGTCTAGATGTCAACTGACTGTCTAGATGTCAACTGACTGTCTAGATGTCAACTGACTGTCTAGATGTCAACTGACGGTCTAGATGTCAACGGACTGTCTAGATGTCAACGGACTGTCTAGATGTCAACTGACTGTCTAGATGTCAACTGACTGTCTAGATGTCAACTGACTGTCTAGATGTCAACTGACTGTCTAGATGTCAACTGACTGTCTAGATGTCAACTGACTGTCTAGATGTCAACTGACTGTCTAGATGTCAACTGACTGTCTAGATGTCAACTGACTGTCTAGATGTCAACTGACTGTCTAGATGTCAACTGACTGTCTAGATGTCAACTGACTGTCTAGATGTCAACTGACTGTCTAGATGTCAACTGACTGTCTAGATGTCAACTGACTGTCTAGATGTCAACTGACTGTCTAGATGTCAACTGACTGTCTAGATGTCAACTGACTGTCTAGATGTCAACTGACTGTCTAGATGTCAACTGACTGTCTAGATGTCAACTGACTGTCTAGATGTCAACTGACTGTCTAGATGTCAACTGACTGTCTAGATGTCAACGGACTGTCTAGATGTCAACGGACTGTCTAGATGTCAACTGACTGTCTAGATGTCAACTGACTGTCTAGATGTCAACTGACTGTCTAGATGTCAACGGACTGTCTAGATGTCAACGGACTGTCTAGATGTCAACGGACTGTCTAGATGTCAACTGACTGTCTAGATGTCAACTGACTGTCTAGATGTCAACTGACTGTCTAGATGTCAACTGACTGTCTAGATGTCAACTGACTGTCTAGATGTCAACTGACGGTCTAGATGTCAACGGACTGTCTAGATGTCAACGGACTGTCTAGATGTCAACGGACTGTCTAGATGTCAACGGACTGTCTAGATGTCAACTGACTGTCTAGATGTCAACTGACTGTCTAGATGTCAACTGACTGTCTAGATGTCAACTGACTGTCTAGATGTCAACTGACTGTCTAGATGTCAACTGACTGTCTAGATGTCAACTGACTGTCTAGATGTCAACTGACTGTCTAGATGTCAACGGACTGTCTAGATGTCAACGGACTGTCTAGATGTCAACGGACTGTCTAGATGTCAACGGACTGTCTAGATGTCAACGGACTGTCTAGATGTCAACTGACTGTCTAGATGTCAACGGACTGTCTAGATGTCAACGGACTGTCTAGATGTCAACGGACTGTCTAGATGTCAACGGACTGTCTAGATGTCAACGGACTGTCTAGATGTCAACTGACTGTCTAGATGTCAACGGACTGTCTAGATGTCAACGGACTGTCTAGATGTCAACTGACTGTCTAGATGTCAACTGACTGTCTAGATGTCAACTGACTGTCTAGCACCCACACGTCTCTTGTCTCCAGCAGACAGCACACACTACGGCCCGGTGTTCGTGTTAGCCGTACCCCCAGCTCCCGTACCCCCAGCTCCCGTACCCTCTGCTCTCGTACCCCCAGCTCCCCAGCAGAACAGGTCGGCCATCTTGGTGGAGTTTTACCTCGTGACGTCATCCAACCGTCCTGTCGCGGTAAGTGAAGTTTGTTTTCTAATTAGCTGATTAGCATTCTACACAAACTAACCTTAAACCACTAACGAGATTCCGCCATAAAAAAGTTAAGTTACTTTTTGTAACTAAATCTCCATTGGCGTTTTTAATTACTGGTTATTCTTAAAGGGTAAATTACCCCCCCCCCCCCCCCCCCTCTGTATAATTTCATCATCTTTTCCGGTTGGTGCCGAAGACACATTGGGCGAATGAAGTAGAGTTCATCTGTTTCAGAGACCCCAGAATACATGAAGACAATGTGGTGATTACTATTCCAGCCGCCTTTGTTTCCCTAACATGTGCCAGGTACTCATCAGAGCTGGGTGAACTCAGGGACGTTTTACAGACTCGAACCCGGGATCCGAACTCGAGACTTTTAGATAAGCTGTCGTAAGCTCTACCATCCAACCGCGCCGACCCTTGTTATTCCACATTATCTAAGCTACATACAGCAATGCTCTATGGGATATGTTGGTTTAGTGTGGGAGGGCATTGGATTAAGGGCATTGGATTAAGGGCATCTCTAGTGCCACATAAAAAAGTATGACGTTACATTTTTGTAATTGAAAAAAAAATTGATATTACATTTTTGGTTCCTTTTTTTGCCTTTTTATTGTTATGAAAATATTACAACGAATCTACTACTGATGCAGGTTTGCAAATAAATTAATAAATCAGAAAGTTAACTTATCCCAAACTTATCATGTTCTCTACCGCACAATTTCATCCCAGGTGATTGTGACGTCATGGCGGTCTAACTCAGCGCCACCTGACGTCATACTGGTCACCAGAGACGCTGGCTACGTCTACAAGGTGCCGCAGTTCCAGTAAGATGCACGTGTAATGTACTCATCTTCTCTTAGACGCGTTTTTTTTTTGTCCAGTATCTTTCACGTGCAAGTTCCCAAATAATCCCATTACATTAAACAATGACGTCATTTATAAACGTAACTCAATCTTTTATGGTAAAAACACGACATTTTAATTGTAAACGTATGAAAGGTTTACTACGGAGGCTGGTTATTAATATTTAATCAAAATCTGGAACATTGTATTTATATAGTGATGGTGCCTAATGGACGTCGCATTTTTTGTCTGACCTCCCCTCCATTTTCACACATACACCTTCATCCGTTGTACATTTTGTAAAAATCTAGACCTCCACTTATATATATATATATATATATATATATATATATATATATATATATATATATATATATATATATATATATATATATATATATATATATATATATATATATATATATATATATATATACAGAGAGAGAGAGAGAAAGAGAGAGATATGTACATTAATACAATGTTTATACATATTTTGGTATCTTTGTTGGCATGTATGTTGGTACGTATGTTCACATTATGTTTATATTTATGTTGATACGTATGTTCACATTATGTTTATATTTATGTTGATACGTATGTCGATATTATGTTTACATTTATTTTGATACTTACGTTAATGTTATGTTTATATGTATGGTGATCTGTATGTTGACATTATGTTTATATTTATGTTGATACGTATGTTGCCATATCCCTAGCGAAAGCCGGGCCAAAGCCTACACCCTGAAGGGCATCAACGGCACCTTCAGCGTCAGTGTCGTCATACGTCTAGCTGACGTCATGGCCGCTGACGTCACCAGAGCTGACATCATGGCCGCTGACGTTACTAGAACCAACGTCACAAGCCCCGACGTCACGAGATCCAACGCCAGCGGATACGACACCGGTGACGTCAGTCCGCCCAACGCCGGCGGTGCCAGAGACGGCGGTGGTGGTGACGTCAGAGTCGCAGACTCCTACCTGGCGGTGCCGGTCTCAGCCTGGGGGGTGCGGTACTTCCTGGTCACGCTTCAGTGAGTTCGACGTGTAAACAAATCATGTGTGTGTGTCACTCTTTAAAAACCTGGAGGTCAGAAATAGAGTTCATCTGTTTCTGTAATCTCGGCATATGAAGGGATTAGCTACAATCATCAATTGTGTTGTCAGGTAAAAGAAAACATGGACTTGTCGACCCCCCCTTCCCCCCCCCCCCCCCCCAAAGCACGTCTATCACCCCCACCTACCCTCAACCCCCGAATTTATATAGAAAATATATCTACTTTTACCCTTGTCCTCCTCCTTCCCCCGGAAAATTTATTCCGCCCCACCCACTCACGAATGTTTCAAGTGCCCCCCCCCCCCCCCCCCCGGACAAAAGAATTTAGAAAGAAATACTAAAAATCAGTGATATAAGTAGGGGGTTAACTCGTTAAAACTGTAAACTTAAAGCCACCTTAACGTCATCTGCTTAATTAATAGTGTTGTGTGTGTGTGTTTGTGTTACCGTTGTAAGGTCAAGGCCGGCCGTACACCTGGTGACGGCAGACGACAGCACGGGGATCCAGGTGGTGCTGAGGAGTTCCGAACCCGCGCTCTTTGCGTTAAAGTACCTGGCCAAGACGTACAGGAACGGGGACACTCTACATATAAGGCTAGGCAGGTACATGACGTCACTCTAATTAAAGGCAGGTACATGACGTCACTCTAATTAAAGGCAGGTACATGACGTCACTCTAATTAAAGGCAGGTACATGACGTCAGTGTAATTAATGGCAGGAATATGACGTCTAATTAACGGCTAGGCAGGTACATGACGTCACTCTAATTAAAGGCAGGTACATGACGTTAGTCTAATTAAAGGCTAGACAGGTAGATGTCACCCGGTTTATTTACGACGGCACAGTTAATGAAAAAAAAAAAAACAATCACAAGTGGGATATATAGCAAATTCGAAGGCCTGTTACACCTTCAAGAAGGTTCATTCAATTGGCAAATTCTATAATTTTTATATAAATAATATTCATAATTGAAATCATAATAAATCGATAGGTAATGAACATAATTTCTATATACACTTTATGTTTTTTTTTATCTGATCGCCTCTAAACTATTCCACAACCGCCCCTTTTCCAAACTAACCCCTTAGGTTGGTGATTAAAATTAGTATAAAACAGGTATCACCATTTGTTGGATTGCAGATAAATCAATACAACATCACTTAACGAGCGCAGAGAAAATTACCATGTTACCTCATGTATCTCCCACTTATTACACAGCCACACACACCTATAGAATACATCCCACTGTACATAAGAGAAACCACATTATTATTATCTCCACCCCCCCCCCACCCACACACAGTAGCGTAGCCAGAATCGTCTCATGGGGGGGGGGGGGGTTCAAATTTTTACCTGGGGATAAACTTTCGATTTGCACCCCCCCCCCCCTCAAACTTTTGATTTGGACCCCCCTCAAACTTTTGATTTGCACCCCCACACCCCCCAAACTTTCGATTTACACCCCCCCTCATACTTTATATATATATATATATATATATATATATATCGAGATGTCTAAGGGGGTTATGACCCCCCTAACTCCCCCCCCTGCCTACGCCACTGCCCACACATATAAAGTACTTCTTACCGTACAAAAAGACAAACTCCATTATCCATTATTCATCCTTCACCTTCATCCACCCCACCCAACCTTATAAAATAAACCCATAGTTCATAAGACAACCTAAAATGTTACACTCTTCCCCTCCCCAACACCTATAAAATATTCACACCTTACATAGTCACAACCCCAATTTTTTTACACCCTTCGCCCCCTCCCCAACACCTATAAAATTCTTTCCATCGTACATAAGAAAACCCCCACCGTAGTACCCTCTAGGATTCCCCCCCCCCACCTGCATGCTGGTCTGGTCTCACCTGTACTTTCTACCTGCTGACAGGTGGCAGGTGCTGCCTTTGTTCGATTGCTGGAACAACACATATGCTGGTGACGTCACCGGTGAGTGAGACTTGGTCCCTGCATTACAGACTTACATCTTAATTACATAGGTGTAATTGAAGTGCACATCAATGACATGGGTGTAATGGCACTACAAATACATCGGTGTAATGGTACCACTTATTAAATACATAGGTGTACTGTAACGGCGCATGACGACAAATACATTGATATAATGGCACAACAACATAGTTACACGGATGTGAACAGATCTTACATACAATACATGTGAACATCTATTATTTCTTAGATACTTGCCAGGCGATACTTTATTTGTTTTAATTAAATAATTTAAAGATGTGTTCATTTAATGACTTGATTTAATGATTTGACGATTTAGCAGTTTGATGATATATTGACTTGATGATATATTGACTTGATGATATATTGACTTGTTGATATATTGACTTGATATATTGACTTGATATGTTGACTTGATGATAAGTTGACTTGATGATAAGTTGACTTGATGATTAGTTGACTTGATAATTTGTTGAATTGATAATTTTTTGACTTGATGATTTGACGCTCTGACTTCCTGCAGGTACCATCATCACCTCGACCATGCCGGTTGGTGTGACGTCAGGCAGGTGTGTCACGTGCGAGGGGGATGCCGGGATCGTTTTCACAACACAGGGTACATGGTTACAGTCAGTGTAAGACCACAGGGTACATGGTTACAGTCAGTGTAAGACCACAACACAGGGTACATGGTTACAGTCAGTGTAAGACCACAACACAGGGTACATGGTTACAGTCTGAGTAAGACCACAACACAGGGTACATGGTTACAGTCAGTGTAAGACCACAACACAGGGTACATGGTTACAGTCAGTGTAAGACCACAGGGTACATGGTTACAGTCAGTGTAAGGCCACAACACAGGGTACATGGTTACAGTCAGTGTAAGACCACAGCACAGGGTACATGGTTACAGTCAGTGTAAGACCACAACACAGGGTACATGGTTACAGTCAGTGTAAGACCACAACACAGGGTACATGGTTACAGTCAGTGTAAGACCACAGCACAGGGTACATGGTTACAGTCAGTGTAAGACCACAACACAGGGTACATGGTTACAGTCTGTGTAAGACCACAACACAGGGTACATGGTTACAGTCAGTGTAAAACCACAACACAGGGTACATGGTTACAGTCAGTGTAAGACCACAACACAGGGTACATGGTTACAGTCAGTGTAAGACCACAACACAGGGTACATGGTTACAGTCAGTGTAAGACCACAGCACAGGGTACATGGTTACAGTCAGTGTAAGACCACAACACAGGGTACATGGTTACAGTCAGTGTAAGACCACAACACAGGGTACATGGTTACAGTCAGTGTAAGACCACAGCCACAACAACAGCATTTACGACAACAACATTTCCGACCACAACCACAAACACAACAATAACAAACACGACAACCACCACAAACCCAACCACGCAACAGTCACATCCACAAAAACAACAACAACAACAACAATCACTACCACAGCCATAACAAAAACTATCACAACCACATTCACGACAACGACAATCACGAACAGAGTCACAACAACAACTACCAGGTATCCTTTTTGTGCAATACTTTCAGTAATGTGACCTTTCTGTATAAGACCCCCAGTAATGTGACCTTTGTGTACAAGACCTTCAGTAATGTGACCTTTGTGTATAAGACCTTCAGTAATGTGACCTTTGTGTATCAGACCTTCAGTAATGTGACCTTTGTGTATAAGACCTTTATTAAAATGACCTTTGTGTATAAGACCTCCATTAAAGTGACCTTTGTGTATAAGACCTTTATTAAAATGACCTTTGTGTATAAGACCTCCATTAAAGTGACCTTTGTGTATAAGACCTCCATTAAAGTGACCTTTGTGTATAAGACCTCTACTTAATTGACATTTGTGTAAAAGACCCTCCAGTAAAGTGACCCTCATGTAATGTGCCACTGGTCTTCACTTGACCACAGAGATGCTGCTGCCCGCCGCCACCTACGGCTGGAACTTTGTCCTGGTCACTGACCTCGATCAGATGGACACGACCCTGGTGACGGTAGTGACGTCAGAGAACTTGACGCTGATAGGACTGTGGCTGGAGGATTCGAATGACGTCAGCACCTGGATAACTAACACGGGGGATATGCTTCAGGTAGATGCAGGTAGATTCGGGTAGATTTGGGTAGATTAAGGTAGATTCGGGTAGATTAAGGTAGATTAAGGTAGATTCCGGTAGATTAAGGTAGATTAAGGTAGATTCGGGTAGATTTAGGTAGATGCAGGTAGATGCAGGTAGATGCAGGTAGATTTGGGTAGATTAAGGTAGATTCGGGTAGATTAAGGTAGATTAAGGTAGATTCGGGTAGATTAAGGTAGATGCAGGTAGATGCAGGTAGATGCAGGTAGATTTGGGTAGATTAAGGTAGATTCGGGTAGATTAAGGTAGATTAAGGTAGATACAGGTAGATGCAGTTAGATGCAGGTAGATGCAGGTAGATGCAGGTAGATGCAGGTAGATTTGGGTAGATGCAGGTAGATTCGGGTAGATTAAGGTAGATGCAGGTAGATGCAGGTAGATGCAGGTAGATTCCGGTAGATTCGGGTAGATTAAGGTAGATGCAGGTAGATGCAGGTTGATGAAGGTAGATACAGGTAGATACAGGTAGATGCAGGTAGATGCAGGTAGATGCAGGTAGATGCAGGTAGATTAATGTAGATACGATTAGATACAGGTAGATTCAGGTAGATTCAGACAGATGAAGGTAGATACAGGTTGATGAAGGTAGATACAGGTAGATGCAGGTAGATGTAAGTAGATGAAGTAGGGGGTTGGTCAGGTCATAAACATCACACTCCTAGGTGGGATGTGGGGGTGTCGGTCTTGTTCGTGCGACAAAGGGGAGGAGGTGTGTTCAAAATGTGTTGCCACACACTGCTGTATTTTTAAAGTAATGTTAGGAACTGAGTATAAACCGCTATTTCGGGTTGTTGTTTTTTTTTAAAATATATCTAATATATAAAGCTCAGTTCTGTATGTAATGCATATGTTTGTCGATGGTCTTCGATGGATTAAAGTGTTATAATATTATCGTGCGCATTTCTCTAAATTTATGAGTTAAAAAATTACTATTGAAAGTGTTGGGAAATAATTTTCATTTTTCAAATTATAGTAATAATTGTCGGCGTGTTCATTAAACACAAATTTTAAAAAAATATCATCTTTTACAAAAATTCTAATTATGTCTTTATTTAGCCCTATAGCATTTACTTCCCTTTGATAAATTAGGAAAACACAATTACTTCCCTTTATAAAACCATTGCATTTACTTTGCATTAATTTACTTTTTATTACTTTGTTTTAGTGTTGGGAAAAAAAAATAATTACATAATTAGCGGGGATTGATCAAGTGCAAATGTTGTTGGTATTTTACGGATAAGCTTGGAGTATTAAAATTGTTCATTAAATTGAAACAGGCGCGTTCGTTTAAGTGAGTGCAAAAGACTATGAATAAGTTGGGGTACTATAGTCGTTCATTAAGCTAAAACAGGTGATTCCGCCCCGGGCGTTTATGTTCGCGTTAGTGTTTTCTTTGTGTTTAGGTCGGTTTGCGTTAGTGGTTGCGTTTTGATTTGGTTCGTTTTTGTTCTTTCTTTTTTCGTTTTTGTTTGTTTTTTTTGTTTGGGTTTGTATTTGTGTTTTTGGTTGGTTTTGCGTTTGGATTTGGTTTGTTTTCGTTTGCTTTTTCGTTGTTTTTTTTTTTTGTTGGTATTGGTGTTTGTGGTTGGGTTTGTTGTTAGGTTTTTGTTTTCGTTTGCTTTTTTGTTTGTTTTTTCTTTGTGTTTGCATTGGTGTTTGTGGTTGTGGTTGGGTTTGTTGTTAGGTTTTTGTTTTCGTTTGTATTTGTAATTGTGTTAGCGTTATGTTTGCGTTTTGTTGTTTTGGTTGGTTGTGGTTTGGGTGGGCAATGCCAGGTTTATGATGATTACTAAACACACAGGTAATGGTCTTTAACAGAAAGGTTTTTCACAGAAGCCAGAGCAGGGCCTGGCCGGGACGGCTAGTTTTTTTATAAATATTGATCCACAATCTAAATGTTGACCGAACTCATGGATTATTTTAAGAAACAAATCACTGGTTAGAAAAACAAACGTAACAATTTCGAATGGAGGTGGGTGGTATGCTTGGTGTGACGTCATTTTAAGGGGGTCGGGCTAGAAAGTTTTGACAACGTGTAACTAGAGGGAGGGGAGAAAATAGCGGTAAAAAAAATTAGTTTATAAAAGCCCCCCCCCCCCCATATGACTAATATGTTCCTTTAATGAATAGTATATTTCTCTGATGCAGGTCAACTTGACCTCCAGGCCACGCCTACTCTCCAGCACCAAGCCAGTCCTCGTGACCGTGGCACTGCAGGTCAGATGTCAAGGGTCATCCGTCGCCATGGGAACGCCGACTTTAATCCTCCCCACGTCCTTGTTTTACAACACGTATCTGTGGAGGTAAGACCACTATATATATATATATATATATATATATATATATATATATATATATATATATATATATATATATATATATATATATATATATATATATATATATATATATTCTGCTAACTCGATAGATTTGAGTTCTATTCCCAACGATGTCCCTGAGTCCACCCAGCGCTAAAAACTACCTTACTCTCGTTAGGGATAGTAAAGGCAACTGGTTAAAGTGCTGGCTACACAAATACCTTTACAAGCCGAGTTCACTGAACCATGAACTTTGCCATTAGTGCAACTGGTTAAAACAGTTTTAAAAAGTGTATGCACTACTGCTGAACGTTGACTGTTAATTTGTGTTTTTTTTTCTGAATTTTTTTTAAATTAAGGGAGGTAACTTAAAATTATGTTCTCTAAAACCGTTATAGATGCATTGTAATTCAATTTTAATTAAATAATAATTGTATTTATAGTAATAATTTATTTTAAAATAATTTTTTTTCACAAGTATTGTTGATTTTATAATATACTAGAATACCCGTCATCCCTTGGATAACTGTGGGTTTCGGGGGTCATCCATCAAAAAACATCACGTCTGTCACTCAGAGGCATAGCGAGCCTTCCCGGCGCCCGGGGACAAACTTTTCGATTTTAACCCCCCCCCCCCCAAGATTTCGATTTTCAAACCCCCCCCCCCCCCTCAAACTTTTGATGTGCACCCCCTCCCCCCCCCCCCCCCCCCCACTCAAACTTTCGATTTGAACCCCCCTCAACCTTTCAATTTATTTTTCCAAACCATTTTGGCGCCCCAACATACGTCCCCCCGCCCCCCCCTTCACCTCCCCCCGCCTCCCCTCCCCCCCCCCCCCCCCGCCTCCCCTCCCCCCCCCGCCTCCCCTTCCCCCCCCCCCCCCCCCCCCCGCCTCCCCACCCGCCCCCCCCCCTCCTCGCTACGCTACTGCAGTGTCACTTATCGTCACAAAAACAGAGCCCACATTCAAAAATATGTTTCTTATCTTTTAAAAACACCGAAAACACCGATTTCGGACTATCCCTTCATATACTGACGTCACATGTGACCTACTCAACTCTACTTCACCTGCCCAGTGTCCCGCCAAGTCTCAGACAACATGTTTTTATCGTTTAAAAAACGATTCCAGCCGAGCATGTCTCTGACCACACTATCCTTTCATATGGTTAGGACAAAGAAACAGATGAACTCTACTTCACCTGCCCTGTATCCTGCCAAGTTCAGATAGGCAACTTTATCATTAACATCTAAAAAAAAAAAAATTGAAAAAAAATATCATTTTTTATCATTAACATCTAAAAAAAAAAAAATTGAAAAAAAATATCATTGACATATTGGTCTAGAACCTGTACCACTCGCATGAGAGCGGACTACGCTACAAACTTAGCTATTTACTCGTGACGTCACAAATGAATTTTTATACTATACTTTGATGCAACTTGATTTCGAGCGTCTAGTCTAGAAGTAGTAACTTTCAAATTAAATTTTATCTTAAATTAGCCAAACAAAGATTTATATAAAATAATTAAGGCCTGAAATAGATTCTAGATGTATTAAGGCCTGAAATAGATTCTAGATGTAGAATTTACATTAAGTCTAGATTTAGAATTTACATTGAGTTTAGTGACCTAGATCTAGATCTAGGCTAGATTCATAAATTTCCTTCGACAGCTGATCTTTAGATCTAGAGAAATTTATTGTAAAACTAAATGAAAAAAGACAGTTGAAAATTGATATAAGTGTTGGAACGTAATAAATACAGCAAACGGACGTATTGTTAAAGTTATGACCGACAGAAAATTAGATTTAGAACGCGTTAAACTTTGGAATGGGAACACAATTTTCTTCGATAGACGCCGCCATTTTATTGTACTAAAGAGTCAACAAAAAACTCTGACGTCACTATCAAGGGACGTCACTATCCCCACAAAGTTTATTCAAAGTATTAACATTTTTAAAAAAATACGGTTAATTTAACAATGAATAAATCAATAAATTAATTAACGTCTTTAAATAAATTTGTGATTAACAGTCTGTCTGCATTAAAAAATTATTCTCTACCTACATACTATTTTACAGCTGTCCCGGTAGAGTCGAACATATCACAATAGTCAATCAGGCAAACAAAAAAACAAATAAATATTCAAACATGTAAACAAACTTGACTTTTAGTAGTATACTAGAATACCCGTCATCCCTTGGATAACTGTGGGTTTCGGGGGTCATCCATCAAAAAACATCACGTCTGTCACTCAGAGGCATAGCGAGCCTTCCCGGCGCCCGGGGACAAACTTTTCGATTTTAACCCCCCCCCCCCCCCAAGATTTCGATTTTCAACCCCCCCCCCCCTCAAACTTTTGATGTGCACCCCCTCCCCCCCCCCCCCCCCCCCCCCCCCACTCAAACTTTCGATTTGAACCCCCCTCAACCTTTCAATTTATTTTTCCAAACCATTTTGGCGCCCCAACATACGTCCCCCCGCCCCCCCCTTCACTCCCCCCCGCCTCCCCTCCCCCCCCCGCCTCCCCTTTCCCCCCCCCCCCGCCTCCCCTTCCCCCCCCCCCCCCCCCCCCCCCGCCTCCCCACCCGCCCCCCCCCCCTCCTCGCTACGCTACTGCAGTGTCACTTATCGTCACAAAAACAGAGCCCACATTCAAAAATATGTTTCTTATCTTTTAAAAACACCGAAAACACCGATTTCGGACTATCCCTTCATATACTGACGTCACATGTGACCTACTCAACTCTACTTCACCTGCCCAGTGTCCCGCCAAGTCTCAGACAACATGTTTTTATCGTTTAAAAAACGATTCCAGCCGAGCATGTCTCTGACCACACTATCCTTTCATATGGTTAGGACAAAGAAACAGATGAACTCTACTTCACCTGCCCTGTATCCTGCCAAGTTCAGATAGGCAACTTTATCATTAACATCTAAAAAAAAAAAAAATTGAAAAAAAAAAATCATTTTTTATCATTAACATCTAAAAAAAAAAAAAATTGAAAAAAAATATCATTGACATATTGGTCTAGAACCTGTACCACTCGCATGAGAGCGGACTACGCTACAAACTTAGCTATTTACTCCTGACGTCACAAATGAATTTTTATACTATACTTTGATGCAACTTGATTTCGAGCGTCTAGTCTAGAAGTAGTAACTTTCAAATTAAATTTTATCTTAAATTAGCCAAACAAAGATTTATATAAAATAATTAAGGCCTGAAATAGATTCTAGATGTATTAAGGCCTGAAATAGATTCTAGATGTAGAATTTACATTAAGTCTAGATTTAGAATTTACATTGAGTTTAGTGATCTAGATCTAGGCTAGATTCATAAATTTCCTTCGACAGCTGATCTTTAGATCTAGAGAAATTTATTGTAAAACTAAATGAAAAAAGACAGTTGAAAATTGATATAAGTGTTGGAACGTAATAAATACAGCAAACGGACGTATTGTTAAAGTTATGACCGACAGAAAATTAGATTTAGAACGCGTTAAACTTTGGAATGGGAACACAATTTTCTTCGATAGACGCCGCCATTTTATTGTACTAAAGAGTCAACAAAAAACTCTGACGTCACTATCAAGGGACGTCACTATCCCCACAAAGTTTATTCAAAGTATTAACATTTTTTAAAAAATACGGTTAATTTAACAATGAATAAATCAATAAATTAATTAACTTCTTTAAATAAATTTGTGATTAACAGTCTGTCTGCATTAAAAAATTATTCTCTACCTACATACTATTTTACAGCTCTCCAGATAGAGCCGAACATATCAGGATACTTGATCAGGCAAACAAACAAACAAACAAAAAAACAAAAAAATAAATATTCAAACATGTAAACAAACTTGACTTTTAGTAGTATATAGATGGAGGCTAGAATTATAATTGGATTTATGGTTAAATAAGAACCCAGTTAGCATTTATTAACCATTTGCATTTATTAATCAGTTATTGCAATGTATAGATATTCCTCAAATCGGAAAAATTTGACCCGATTGCCATTTGTTTGTATTTGGGAAAAAAAAAAAAAAAAAAGTTTGTATTTGGAAGGTTTGTGTTGCTAAAACATAATTAAGATAGAAATATTACGGTTGACGGTCCAGTTACATTGAGGTGCTAAAACAAGTTATTCTGTAAACTGGTTGCTGCTGAGTCTAAATTTGTTTATATTATACATTCATTATAAAATCAACTGAGCGACGTTACAACTTAAGTGGAGTTTTTAATTCAGCAAGATTTGTGATGGTGTGTAGTTGGTGAATCATGAGAAGGATTTGTTGATGCAGTGACTGTGTTTAACAATTTTACTTTAACTTAATATTATCTCACGAATTTTTAGCTACTTATTTAAACTTGTGTGTATTTCTATTTGGAACCTTGTGTGTGTGTGTTGTTTTTTTTTCCACATTATATACATTGTAAGTACTTTTTTTTCTTTTTTTATTTCTTGTGTGTGTTGCCTGGCCCCGGGTGGGCCTCACGCACAACTATGTCGGAAAAATACATCAAACGGCTATTCCTGCCTAAGTTTGGCATGGCAGGACATGCGCCAAAACTCTAGAGATTTTCATAGAAGAGGGTTTTTCTTTAGCTACCCTCACTCCTGACGAACTAAAAAGAGAGCTATGTATGTTATGTAGCCTATCACCAGCTGAATTTGAAGGACTGTATAACTATGGGACACTGCGTAAATGGTATGTCACCATTAGATCAAAGGAATTATATGAGAAAATGCACCTAAAAGAATTTCACAGAGATTTGCCACCTGGGGTAACATCCAGATGCAGAGAATATCAATAACCCACGCCGATAAATCTGGGCAAAGGGGCATGCTGAAATGGCTGCCTTCCAAGACAAGCGACGATGATATAATGGCGATTCTGAAATCTATAGGCAGTCAGGACTCAACACCAACATTTAAGAGAATAGAACAATCAAATGTGGTCCAATTCACTATCTCTCTGGAGA